TCACTGTGATCACACTAAATGTGTGAGGTCCAACAAATGTGTGAGGTCCAACAGTCAGCCTGCTGACTCTGTGTGTGTGTGTGTGTGTGTGTGTGTGTGTGTGTGTGCACGCTTGTGTGCTCGCCACCTTACTTTTTGAGACATAGTTTCTCACTGAACCTGGAGCTCACTAATTGGCTAGGCTGGCCAACCAGGCCAGGCTCCAGTGTCCTCCTCTGCCTCCCCAGCACTGGGATTACAATCAGTGTGCCAAGATTTTTATGTGGTAGTGGGAATCTAAACACAAATGTGCACAGCTGCACAGCAAGCACTTTACAAACAGCCATCTCCCCAGGTCTTTGTTTTTTTTTTTTTTTTAAATAAATAAAGCCTTATTGGAAAACAGCCAAATCTGGTCATTTCCATATTTTTTGTAGCTGTTTCACACTACATTATGGTTTAGTAATTGTTACAGATACTATAGGGTCTGAAAAGCCTAAAATATTAACTGCCTGGCCCTTTATGAAAGGAACTGCTGATCCATGGACCTATCACTTACTGCAAAGCAGTGATTGTCAGAATGGATGCAAAAAGCAGCACCTATGTTTTAGCTATAAAAATTCACCTCAAATACATAGAGATGAGTTAAAAGAAAAAGAATAGGAAGAAATAGACCACGCAGATACTTCCCCCAAATAAAGCTAGAGTTACTCTCTTGATATTAGATAATCTCCATAAGAAATGGCACCAGTGTTAATGGAGGACGTGGACTCCAGTGATAACTAGGGCCAGTTCATTAAGACCACACTCCTCAGTAAGTACACACCTTATAGCAAAGCTTCAGAAACTTCAGTTAGAAAGGAGAGACAAAGCTATGAGAGCTGTGAATTTCAGTATGTCTTTCTTCTTAAGGAAACTAAGCAATTAGAGATGTGGTAGGAGACATTTATATAAAATCCAACTAACAAGTACTGAACACTCATAACCTTCAAATTTGCTGTGGAGACCTATTCTGTGCTGTAATGCAAAGATCAATATTTTTAAAAGTTTGAAACCATACAGACTATACTTCCTAGGGCGTGATTAGAAATCCTTAGTATGACTTCCTTGTGAGTCACCCCTTAACCACGCTGAGAACCCTCTTCCCCTGTCTCCTTTGCTGAGTTCCTAGTTACCTGTATTCATACCTTCCTCACTTCCCTGATTTATGTCTTTCTCTTTTGTGTTTTAAGTTATCCTCTTGGTAAGACAAGTCCTCCAATACTGTCATGACAGAAGTGCACGGGAGCTGTGCTGTAATCTTCCTCTGTATCTGTCTATACCACACTCTGTGCACTGGCAGGCCAATCCACACAGAAGCCACTAATGAATTCCCTTGTCCTCTGACTTCCCATAGGATTTAAATCTGAGTGAACAGCAGTAGAGAAAGGGAAGGACTGTGTGCTTGGGATTGTATTCCTCTAGCCTTTTCTCCATGAGGTCGCGTGACACAAGCTGTGTCCTCTGAAGAGGCCATGCTTCCTTCCCAAACTCTACAGTGACAAGCTGGTCACAGTCCTCCTTCCATTCCACCATGGGTCAGTCAGGCAGTGGCAACAGCTGTTGTTTCCAGTCCATCATTCCGCCATCCCATTGTTCTCCAAAGGAAAGATGTGTATGAGCTGATGCCTTGTTAAAATTCTCCTCAAATTGCCCAAGTTTGAGTTTTCTGCATTCCAGTCAGGATATCATATGATATGAAAAAATAAAGGTTTTAGTTTTTAGCAACTCACTTGTCTGAAAATGTGTTCATGATACACTTGAGGTATATTAATGATATGGCTAGTAAAGGATTTTATATTGGAAACAATTCTTCAGAATTTTGAACACATTGCTCCATTTTATTCTACTTTCCAGGGTTGTGGCTGAGAAATTTTATGTCACTCACACCAGTGCTTAGTCTTTTGTATGGACCACAGGTGTTCTTTTTCCTCATGAAAACTGTAGTGAATTTCATTTCTCTGGTGTTCTGGAGTTTCAGGGGGATGTGCAGGAGTGTGAGTCTCTACTGCTTCAAGGGCTAGTCACATGATGGGTCTTACTTACTGGAATCCTACCCTTTGCTTTTGGATTTTGTGTGTGTGTGTGTGTGTGTGTGTGTGTATGTGTGTGTGTGTGTGTGTGTGTGTTGTGTTGTGAGCGAAAATAGGAAGCTTATAAAAGGGTTTCATATTCCACCTCTCTCCTGCTAAAACTCGCATCCTTGTATTTTTCAATATCATTTGTTTCCTTATCCGTATGTCTCCTATTTCCCATCTATCTTTTCTCCCATTAGAGAAAGTTCCCCAATGTTATCTTCCAACTAATCTTTCAAGCTTTAATTTCTGCAATCACTATAGTCATGAGAGTGCTTTAGTGCTCTCTCAAAATGCTTCTTTCTTATTGTTAAAACGTGTCTTGTTCTTGTTTTATCAATGCTTTCTGATTAACACAGAGGCTGCCAGGTAGAGATGAGATGTGCTAGTTTTCTTTTGCTGCCAAAACAAGTGACCCCGAACAGCATGGGATCAGCTGGGTTAAAATCATGGTGCTGGCACTGGTATTCTCCTTCCTGAAGGCTTGAGGGGCAAAGCCCTGTCCTTGCCTGTTTGGATTTTGGCAGTGTTTATTTCTTTCTGGCAGTGGGCTGAGGTTCCCACTGCTTGCTTGATGTCAGATGAGAACCACTCTCAGCCTGTAGAGGACATCCACATCCTGGGCTCATGGCTCACTTAATGTCTACAAGGCCAGCGCTGGTGGACTGAGCCTGAGCTCTTCTCATCTCTTCTGTTATTACCTCTCTTTGACCTCAGATGCACAAGGTTCTCTTCTTCAAGAGACTCATGTGATTAGATTGAGCCCAGTAATCTTGCTCCATATAATCTCTGTTGCTCAAACTCAACACTCTTAGTCATATTTACAAAGACTCCTTGCCACGTACAATTACACATTCATGTTTTAGGGATGAGGCAGTGTATTAGCTACATTTCTTGGCGAATAAACAACTTAAGGTATGAAAGACTTCTGAGGGCATATAGCCCAGTGTGGTGGGAGAGCATCAGTAGGAGAGTGAAGCAGGTGGCTCCACCGTATCCCCAGTCAGGAAGCAGAGAGAGATGAATACTGGTGCTCAGCTCCAGTCTCTTTTTTATTCCTCTTATTCTGCCCCCAGGTTGCTGCTGCCCATATCCAGGGCTTGTCTTCCTTCCTCAGTTAAACTTTTCAAGCCTATTATCCAGCTCCCCATATAGGGAGATGCACATGCCTAATCATCTTAACCACAAGTCCCTAGTGGTGAGCTTTTAGACAATGCCTACGAGACTGACCGAGCCCTAGAAGGGTTAGAAAGTCTCACCCAAAGGAAGATAGAAATACTGAGTTTCAGCACAGAAGATACAAAACTGAAGATGAATCCTCTGCATAGAAAGCACAGTGAATTTGTTTTGAATAGATGTAGAAGGGGAAAAAACAGAACCAAAGGAAGGAAGCTGCAAGGCAGTAGATTTGGGGCCCAACAGGATAATATTTCATAGTATCGGCTAGTACACAACTGGGTGATCTGCCTCAGGAAGTTGTGCTCACTCTGAATTAATGCTGGGTAGGAACAATTCACACGATAACTCAATATATTATTCGCTCCTTTATACACTCAAACACATGACTGATTATCTCATATGTGGCAAAAATTAATTCAAACATAGTTTATTTCTGCTCTCAAAGAATTTGCCCTCAAACCTTTTTTTTGGACTGTGTGACTTCACTCGTTCCTCATTCTCTCCATTCATGTGTGTAATAAGTGAATATTCACTGAGCGCCAACAATGCCGTTGCAGGCATCCAGAATACATCAGCAAAAGAAACAGGCAGAGAGAAGGCAATCCTCCCGCAGCTGTGTCCTACATCTGGCCCCTTTTTCAGACCTCCAAGCTGTGATTACGTTTAGGCAACCTCCCTCTCTCACTGAAAGGCAGCGGTACCTAAAGGCGCCCTCTTTGACCTATCTCGTGCCCTGCTTACGCATCAGTCCTTCAGCAGTGCTAAACTGACCGACCACTACTGGCTTCTCACTGCCAGAAATCCACAAGTTTCAGAGCCAGGCTGTCACCAGTCCACACAATCAGGTAGTTTCGGCCTTTCCAACCACTCTTCCTGTGGTTCCTCTTTGGTTTTTTTGTCTTTCACAGAAGAAAACTATCTCAGTGCTCACTTACCCCAGGCCATTCTTTAATTTTGCTGTTTCCTTTGCTCAGAATGACACTTCCATATCTCCAAAAACTCAAATCTTGTCTATCTTCCAAGTCCCAGGTGAGAAATTTCAATGGATTTGAGGTGTGGAGCTGGGGATTAGACCTAGGGCCTCAAACATGCCAGACAAGCACTACATACTGAGCTGGATCACCAACCCTGACTTTTTAAATCCCTTTTCTTTAAAGCCCACAGCAACCAACACCCCCCCGCCCTGTCCAGTCACAGGTTTAACTTTATGTCACTGCACATTCTCTTGCCTCTTGTATAAGGCTTTATGAAGCAGAGTTCATGTTGTTGTATTTTACTGTCTTCTGTCCTCAGTGCTGGTCACACATGTGTCCCTTGAATAAAGTAGAGGAAATGGAAGTGAATTCTAGCTTCTGTCTAGTCTTTAAGAAAGGGAAGCAAGCCTATTTGTCTTAATCCACACAAAGCAGCACAAAGTCTTCTAAGTAAGGAGCTCCAGGGCTGCAGTTGGCAAGAAACTCTCCATTCTTATAGAAAACTGAAGTCTCAATCCAGGAAAGAGTTTCAGGCGGCTGTCCGTCCCTGTTTCCATGGAGGACTTACTGCAGACTGCCCAAAAAGGAATAAGACATATTTGTTCAAGTACACAGCAGGAGAAACTACTGAGTCACCTGCTGGCCCTGGATTGGGTGGTTCCTGGAATGTGAACTCAATCTTAAAGACCCATTGGGCGGGTCTCCTGTGACCCAACTTCCTGACTCTGCCCCTGAGGATAATGAGAAACAATACCTGAGCAGGCCACATGGCAGTGGTTCTTCTGATGTGTTAGATGTAGCCTTGATCTTCTGCACCACGTGAAACTGTTTATCTGGAAAATGCCATAGTCAGTGCTCCCATCCTTCAGGAGCGTCTGCATTGTGGTGTTGCAGTGGCTCTCATAGTATGCCAAGCAGATCCCAAATGGGGAGAAAGCCAGAAAGACCCATAGGGAAACAGATTCCTTTGATTCAGCCTGCTCTTTGGGGTGAGTTCCTTTACACACGCTACCTGATTGCCTCCTCCCAGCAGACCTCAGAGCTGGGTGGGTGCTTCCAAGGAGCGGGGATGCTACACCAGAAGCTGCACACAGAGCCAGTGGCTGAGCCTAGTGTAGAGAAGCCAGGCCTGTCCCACACTGCTGGCTCAGTTGCATCACTATTCTCTTCCCCCCCTGGGGTTGTAAGCACAGGACTCTGATGCCGGTGGGAAGAAGGAGAGGAGACTGAGTGCAAGTAGTTGAGGAGGACAGGAGAAGAGCTAGCAGCCATCCCTAGCCAGGGCAGAGCTCCAACAAGCTGGGAATAATCAGATGGGAGCACTGAGGGCATTTTCAACAGCTCACAGCAGACAGCAACTCTTGAAAACAAATTGTGAGAGAATTTCACAGTTTCCAAGACTAAATCTCCGGTAGTTGTCCAGGCCCGCCTTCACAAATATTTTTGCCAGTTTACATCGAGTGTAGACTTTGGATTCTGTGACTGTGATGAGGCTGATAATCAGGGCCAGGAAGCCAGAAGCCTTCATCCCTGAGGCCTGTTGGAAGCAGCACCTGCCAAAGATCAGAACTGTCAGACAATGGATTCATCCCAAGATCATGCCTGTCACCAGCAGGAATTTCATAATCTACTAATCATGGCTGTGGACAGCCTCACCTTGGTACCTCCTGTCAGTTTTCAGTCATTCTGGGCCTCCATCAGGGAATACATGATACAACAGGGAAGGAACAGGACTGCAAGCTCTTAGTGCTGTGCACAGTAAGATAAAGCAAATGGGTGGAAATTGTAGAGGCACTTCAGATGTTCACTTTAACTCTCTGCATCTCAGAGTGAAGAAAAAGAAATACGGGGCGGGGGCGGGGTACGTCAAACTTCTTGTTTGGAGGTCACTGACAGGAGAACAGGCACCCTATATTTCTCCCATTCTCTTTTTTAGATGCTTTTCCAAGGGGGGAAGCATTGCTTCAAGAACATCAGTCTCTCATCTGACATTACAAAGGGATGGGGTGTTCTTTCAGGGCTCCTCCACTCCTGCTCCACTGGAGGCCTCAAATTTTCTGGTATCTGACTGATGAGTCAGAGGGGAGAGAGGACAAGGGGTCACAAGAGGGGAAAATGTTGGGGGGAAAGGAAGAGGGGCAACAAAGACCCCCAGTGGGTTAAAGTAGGTGCAGGAGTAAGAGCTGCCTTTGTGCCCCGCCCCACCTCCCCAGCTTCAAGCAAGCCCTCCCTCTCTCTCCAGCGTCTTCCCCAAGCAGCACCACTTGGCTGGAATGAGGCTGACATGAAATGTCTGCTAATCACTTGGGATACTAACTCAAAATCTGTACAGATTTTCAGCTATTATTTTCTGCACCTGCCTAGAAATTTGCCAAGCTAATGGTTGTTCCCATCAGAGCTAGATTCTGCAACGGAGAGGTGAAGTTGGAAAGTTTGCCAGGCAAGCTTGGGCTGACTGGTAGAGAGCCCCAGGGGGCTTTGAGTCACTAAGCAATACGCTAACTGCACGCTTGTGAAGACCAAGGCTCAGCAAACCAGACCTGCTTTTTTAAGTAAAATTTTACTTGAACCCGTCTCCACCTATCTGGGGATAAATTGTGCTTTGCTGCTTCCACAGTGGAGTGTCAGGCCTGATGAACTATGTCAGACTGTAGAGACTACAAGACCTAAAATGCTATCTGGTTCTTCATGGAAATCATGCTGCCCTGTAACTTCATATTAGGTGCTCAGAGGCAGGTAAGTGATGTTTAAGGTGCAGAGCTTAAAAAGTGTCATTTTTCATGCATTGCCTTAGAATCTGGTCTGAAACAGCAAGACAGTTGACACAGTAATGGTAGCCTTGGGCACACTGTTTTACATCCTTGAAGCTCTGCTGGCTAAGCCAGCCATCTGTGATTCCTGGTGCTCTCCCTAGACTGGTTTCTCAGTGATCAGAAGGAACCTGGCCCTACTTAATTAGTGAGAGGTAAGCTCCCAGGAGCTTCCTGAGTCCCCTGAAGCCATTTCTGATTCTCTCAAGGCACAAGTGATCCTTCCTTTCTCAAAGATCTTTCTTTGGATCCTTAGCAAAGGAAAAATTCTTAACTCCTTTGTTTCTGGCTGCCCAGAGGTTCTAGAATCCTGGAGTCCTTCACAGGCTGCACACCTGTTCAGAGTCGTCCTGCAACTCTCTTCTTCCTAGTTAACAACCTGAGCCACTACACAGCTCAGCCAGGGCCTCCCATCCAGTGAGGCTCCTTTCTAGAACAGTTGTCTCCAAACTTGATTCTAAGACCCATCACTAAGTAAGCATGAACCTCTAGGTGTGACATTTGAATTATAGACTCCTGTACTTCTATGCTTTGTAAACTATAAGCATATATACATTCAATTAGAAAGAGATAGAGGTGAAATAACAGTTAAAACCTTAACAGCACACACACACACACACACACACACACACACATATATATATATAATTCTCCCTAATAGCCCCAGTTGTCCTGGAACTCCATGTGGAGACCCAAGCTGGTCTTGATCTCACAGAGTTACACCTGCCTCTGCCTCATGAGTGCTAGGATTAAAGGTGTGCAACACCATGCCTGGCTTAATAAAATATTCATATTTAAAAATTTTTTTTATGTGTATGAGTATTACTTGCATGGATGTAAATGTGCCTGTGTCATGCAATGCCCTTGGAGACCAGAGAGGATGTCAAGTATCCTAGAACTGGAATTAGGGACAGTTTTTAGCCACAAAGTGAGTGCTGGGAACTGAACCCAGGTTCTTTGCAAGAGCAGTCAGTGCTCTTAACTGCTGACCCATATATCCAGCCCAATAAAATATTTTTAAAGAAGATTTTAAGTAGAATTTCCAAGAGGACAGGAATAAAATTTATTATTTGTACTGTGATTAGCATTCTTTCATTATTTATGTAAACTTTGATGAAAGACCTGGTCTCAGGTCCGCTTATTTTCCATGCTTTGATTGGATGGCACATCTGAAATTAATTTTAATTGAGATATGCAGGTCTACATAGAAGGTTATTGTTGGTTGCCCTTAACTAACCACAACATTTCCTTAAATTCCATCTGCCAACAAATGTAAAGGTTTTGTTCAAATTAAGTCTGCATAGCATAGTGTTGTCCAGATATATTATAACATAGCCAGCTTATATCGATGAGTATTGGAAATATTTCATTCTCCTAGTATAAACATTATAATTAATAATCTTACACATGTTATTACATGTATTTACAGGGATATCTAGAGTAAATTCTGAGAATGGAATTTCTAGGTTTGCATGATTTTGTGATATACTGTCAAGACTGTATTTTGTGTGTGTATTAGGAAGGCAGGGCTCCTTCTGAGCTGCCTGGCTGGCTCCACACTCTGTTTTCACACCTGTCAGTGTTGCGGAGCTGAGACAGCACAGTTCTCTGTGCAACTTGTCTCTATTTCCCTTGCTTGGAGCTGACTGAGCATCTTTCTTGTGTGGAGTCTACTTGTGGAGGATTTTCTGAGAAATGTGTAGGATATGAGAAAAAATGTGTTGGTGCCTTCTTCAAATACCTTTTCAGAATGTTTGGAAATAGAGATTTTTACTAGGTAGCTAGAACACAGGAACAGCTTATGTGTCCTTCCCTTTTTCTAAAATACCCACTTAACAACTTTGCGGGCTAGAAGGAAAATGTACAAAAGCCATTCATGTTTTTCTACATCAGCTATAGAAAACAGAATTATAAATAAAAGCACCTTTTACAATAGTCCACAAAAGGGAAGTACTTAAATTTAAGTCTTACAAAATTTGTGTAAGATTTATGTGCTGATGAAGAATCAAAGAAACTAACTAAATAAAAAAGACACACCAGGCTCACAGATTTGTGTTAAGATTTCACTATTACATTTAGTAGAAACTCAATCAAAATTCTAGAAACTTCTTTGAAATGTCAACAAGGTTATTCTAAAAACATATTTCAAAGATGTGATGGGTGGTTTTAATGTCAACTTGCCACAAATTTAAATCACCTGAGCCCAGAGGCTCGGTTGAGGATTTGTCCTGATTACCTTAACTGATGTGGGGAGACCCACCCAAACTATGGGCTGTGCCTTCTGGTGGCAGCCCAGATAAAGAGATGTGGCAGAAGGACCGCTATTCACCTTCTGTTAGCTTGTCCTGCCTCTTGATGTCCAGTTAATTTAACCTGTTGCTGCTATTGATTTCTTTGCTGAATTCAGAGCCAGGGTTTCCAGTCTCCCATCACTGCCTGAGGACCAGTGGCTCTCCAGGAACCGTATAGGTTTTTAAGCAGCAGATTGGGACTACTGAGGCACCCAGCCCTGGGAACTGTTTGTCGGCCTCGCCAGTGTGAGAAAGCCACTGTGGACTCCTCCAGCTGTTGAAGCACCCACCCAGCCCCAAGGCTGAGAACTACTGGGTTCTCAGCCTCTTGGGTATAAGACAGCTGTTTTTACTATTCCAAAGTAAGCTGGTTAATGAATTCATTTAATATACATGCATATATTTTATTCTATTGGTTCTGCTTTTCTGGAGAGCCCTAATACAAATGCAGAGATGAATGTTGGAACAGTTAAGTCTTCTGAAAAGATAATGAAATGGAAGGGCCCACATGGCTGATTTTAAAACTACACAAAGCCCATTTAATCGAGATGGGGTGGTATTTGGTGGAAAGATGCACTTGTGATCTATGGGACAGAATACAGAGTCCCTGGAAGGTCCACAAGACACAGTCAATGAATATTTATGGAGAGGTTGATGCAATTAGAAGAAATAATGACGTTCTTTCAATCAGCAGTATGGGAGCAATGACTGTCCAGATGTAAAACAACAGCAGTAGAGTGAGGCACATTGAAGAACATATGCCTCATGCCTTACATAACAACTATTCATGACTGGTCAAGGACCTTCATGTAAAAAGTAAAACTATAGTTGACATAGTTTATGCTTTGGGGCCTTCTATCTAAAAATTTGTGGTCAAACTCGGTCCTTGAAAGAACTAAAAAGTTGGTTAACTGGATTTTACCATTGACCAAATTCAAACTTTTTTTTTTAAAGGAAAACCTAGCTACCATTTTCAAGAAATATTTGTGTCACATATCTAATGAGAACCTTGTATTGGATATCTGGATTATATACATATCACATATCTTTTTTTGTTGTTGTTCTTTTGGAGACAGTCTCCTGTAGCACCAGTTGGTGTGGAACTCACTGTGTAGACCAGGCTGACATTGAATTAAAAACATGTGCCACCACACTTGGCATCATATTACATATCTTAAAATTCAACAAGCAAACAACCCAAATAAACGAACTGCAGCTACAAATGGGAGACATCTCTTTCACACGCCTTCCCCACAAGGCTCAGGGACCATCTCGGAATATGGGACAGAAAATTGTAAGAGAAGATCAGAGGAATCACAGTGTCTTCTGGGCAGGAGAGGAGGGCTGCACTCATGAACTCAGGGCAGCTGCAGTTGTCTCACAAGACCTGGGCAAGGTCAAGCCAGTCACCTCCCCTAGCTGAGGAA